TTTTTTTTTCTAAAAAATTTTCGATTTTTTTTCGTTTTCAATATTTTTTTGCAAATAATATAAATCATGGATAGTTTTGTTTGAGAAGCAGACCTAATATGAACAAAAAAGACTATTTTGCGTATTTAAAGCTACTGTTGTTGTTGTTGTTGTACCGGCAGATTTCTGCCGAATTGACAGTCCTTGAACGGATAATAAAATCCGGGTCCGTTCCGGTTACGTAGACCCGACTGTCGTGGGAACGGAGTTCTATGCGATGTTGTTGTTGTAACGGGTACCTAATCCCGGTTAGGATGGTAGGAATTCGATAAGTTGTCATCGAGCTTATTCAGCGGTAGGCCTAGGAAACGTGCTGTTTCGACGGGGTCGGACCATGTGGAGAGGGATGTCAGATGTGTATTGTTAGCAGGGCATGTAAAGGGGGGTTTACCGTAACCCGGCGATTCCCATAACAGCAGGTTCTACACTACCGGATTTTAACCGGCAAAGTGCTGAATTTTCGGAGATCTAATCACGTTTGGAGCGGTCGGTTTTAGGTACATCCTCAAAGTTTTCTTTATTTCAGTAATTGGAATCTCAAAAAAGGAAACTACAAACAAACTAAAAAAATAATGGAAAAAGAATGAATACTAGTGGAGTTTACGTGTGTGACCCGCTGTAAATGGTGTCTCATTCTCTGGCTTCTTCAACTCCTCGTTAAACCAATGTTTCATAGCCTTTACCCAGCTACCCTTCTTTTGCCGCGTCATATGTTCCCGTATGGAACTATTTAAAAGTTTTTGCTCTCTCTTTGCTAAATTAATTTGGCCAGTTTTCATGTTACCGTAAATATCACGCATCGTATTCGGCACCATATTGAATGCGGCCATGCAAAATGTTTTGAAACCGAGTAACAGACCGCTGGAGAGCATGCGCGAATCGCTAAGTATGATGATGCGATTTGGAGCCAAACATTTCGCCGCCATTGCTAGATCACTATGGGAATATTCGATGCCCGCAAAGTTTGGTATGGTCCGTTCCGCAAGTTCACAAAACTCTGGCATATCAACTAATATTATAATAAATATACAGTTAAATGTACACCGACGCGAAAGAAATCTGTTTATATGCTGCACTTACGAAACACATCTGTGTAGTGTGGCAAGTGGTAGTAAAAGAATGGATGCCGCCCACAATTCTTGGCGACGATTTTACAATACCCCACCAATTGCTTGACATCGCTCGGCTTATAGAAGAGCTCTGGTATGCATACCACACCATTTATATTCAAATTACTCGCATGCCTTGCCAGATCCAACACATCGGGCATTGGTGCGCCGCCAATTTGTATCAGCATTTTCAGTTCGTGCTTCATACAAGCGATGCTCCAAGCTTCGGCATTCAATTGACGTTCGATTTTACCCAAAATGGGACCTTCGCCGGTAATGCTGTTGACTGTCGTCGGTATATATTGGCCTTTTAGACTTTGGTAGTGCTATATTTGTGCATACATACATATGTCCACTTACCTAAAACGCCTACGGCACCATTCCTTTGTAGCCACTCCGCATAGTCGTCAATATGTGCCAAATTCAAGGTTTTCTCTCTGCAAAATTGTTGTTGGTCTCAAAGTAAATTTAACTGTTAACTACAGAGCTTACTCATTATTTTCAAAGCATGTGAATGCGGGCGCCAAGAAACCCTCAAAAGATTTCAATTCTGCCGGGTCCATAGTTATTTTGGCGTTCTTAGAAGCTTTCAATTGCCGAAATGATTCGTTTTTTTTCCATACGATTTTGTTATTCAGCAATGTGTGGCTTGTCAAAATTTACAGTTAAAACTGAGGCACTTTAAAACTTTTTTTTGTCAAAGTTATCAAAGTCAAAGCACAATGAAAATTTTAGTTGAATGAGATAGAGGATCGCGTTATTGTTGTTGTAAGGGTCATCTAGTCCCCGTTATGGTGGTAAGTTTCAGATAAGTTGTCATCGGGGTCATCCAACGGTAGGCCCAGGAAACGTGCTGCTTCCATGGAGTCGGACCATAGTGAAGGGTGTCTCCTAAAATCTTACCGTTATTGACAGTCTGAATTTTAACGACATCGTTGAAATTAAACAGCAAAGGGTAGAGGACACCACCCACCGGAATTTGGAATTTTTACCTCGAAAAAGTACGAATGATTCAGGTGGTGCTTGTTCCACCTATTCAACCCTGGAGGGAGTATGGATTGTTCGATGTCCTCAAGTAGCATTGTGTGGTTGACTTTGTCAAAAGCTTTGGACAAATCCAACGCTACGAGGATGGTCCTCTCACAGAGTGGTTTTTGGTTAAGGTCGTGAAGTATCGGCGCGTTTATGACGCTGAGTTTTTTGATGGTGCTGTGCACTTTTCGGAAGCCATGCTGGTGGTTTGCTAGACTCTTCTTCGAGTCCGAGGAGGCATGGCCATTGAATTGAATTTCAATTCGGTCATAATGTCGCTTAAGCTTACTCACGCCGGTGCAGAGGTTGCAAAACTTCATGTGCTCTATCCACTTCATCCGCTTGTGTTGCCTTACTATTTGCCGTATATCCAAATAAGATCCCTTATTCGGTAATCACTGGGATCGGTATGGCGTAAGGTGTCATGCTGGTTAGCTAAAACAGCTGCTTCGGCTGGGAAACTTGGGCCGGGATTCCGCGATTCTTCTAGCCGTAATGAAGCGAACGGTAGCAGCTGCGATCACCTTGCTGAATTGACATTGGCCAACGATTACGTCCGTAGGTATGAGTAGTGTGATGAAGATGCTCTCAGTATATTCTGTGAAGTTAACCCATTTATGTAGCTTTATTCAAGTTAACGAAGGTACGGTTGTCTACAAAAATATCGAGTTCTCTATTGTGCCTTGCAGCCACTGAACTCTTAATGAATTGAAAGATGGTTCTTGATACAAGGATTTTTAGATCCGAAAGTAAAAGGGATCTGCTACTAAAGGCGATTACATGTACTCTTGTATCCTGTAAGCAACGAGTTCAATCCAACCATTAACACCCATAATCTGGTGTCTACTACCATACCGTTTCTATGACAGCCGGGTCGCAAAACATCAAAACACCATGCTGAGGCCACCATTCGATGACTTGGACTTACTTTTCTTGAACTAGAAATAATGACTACAACATTAAGAACCATAATCAATATATTCATCTGACAAACGTGGAACATTAAACAATAATAACGGTATTCCTTCAATTATTACAATTCGTATATACCAAATTTTCTCGGTGTACCAACATAAATACCACAACCGTCACTTGTCCGCATTTTCTCATTGAACCACTTCTTCATATCGGAAATCCAACTAGACTTTCCCTTCGTTACATGATTTCTAATAAGTTGATTTAAATAGTGTTGTTTAGTTTTAGCTGACTTCAAATCCTTTCGCAACATTGCGTCATAGATCTCTTTCATTAATATGGGCTCCATGTTCGCCACCGTCATAATGGCCGCATTGAAACCCATTAACATGCCGCTGGCGAGCATTTTCGAATCGCCCATTAGGATAATACGATCCTCGGTCAAGCATTTGATGGCCGTCATCAATTCGGTTTGCGTACAAACCAAGCCCGCGAATGTCGGTATGACCATTTCGGCGCTACTAAAGAACTCTTCGGGATTGACTGGGTTTAGGAAGAGTATATTTAAAAAAAAAAAATACTAAAAGGATGCTTCACTTACATTTGACTTTCGTCAATTCTGGCAAATGATAGTATAAGAAAAAGTGATTTGCGCATTTCTCAGCCACGATTTTACAGTAACCAACCAATTGCTCCATTTTGGTGGGTACATAAAATAGTTCTCCTATACAGACCACAGCGTGTATAGGCAAATCATTGGCATGTCGCGCCAAGTCCAAAACGTCGGGCAACGGCGCACCGCCTATTTGCAACATCATCAATAACGAACACTTCTTACACGCGCGACTCCAAGCTTCGGCATTCAATTTGCGTTCGATCAAACCCAATACCGGACCCTCCCCAGTTGTGCTGTTAACTGCGGAAATGCGTTGAATATTTGTGAAATCTAGCAGATATTTTCACAAAATTTCAAGCTTACCCAGTACACCTTTTATATGGCGTTCCTTGAGCCATACAGCATACTCTTCAATGTAACTCAACTGCAATGTTTGATTCCTTGTTTTCAAATTTTAACAAAAATAATATTTGTATTTTTTGAAATTTTTTATCTTTTTCGTGTTTCCTAAAATTCTTACTTACTCATCGGATTGGAAGCTTGTGAAAACGGACGCGAATATACCCTTAAAGTCCGACGGCACAGGCTTTTTTGCAGATACCGAGGTCCTAAAAAAAGACTGCATCATTTTTGTTATGTGAGGAACTTACGAAATGTTTTTGCTTCTTGAAAAAAAACATTTTGTTTTACAATGTTTTCAGGGCGTCTTTCGATTTTGAAGCAAGTGTGGTGAAATTTTACACTTTAAAAGTGCTGGTGGTTAAAAATTAGTCGGAAGATGTTATTTTCGCGCGAGGAAACTATGTCTGACATATAAAATGTGGTATTGGAAAACGACCCTCCACGCATTGTCATCTTTATCTCTACTGCTAATTTACTGAATGTCTTTTAGATTTGTTTGTGATCAATTAGGGGTTTAACTGGACTTCTTCCTTACTGGCATAGGCACCGCTTAAGCGGATATAGTCAAGTTAACAACAGTGCGGTAGTTTTTCTCTCTTTTTGGTATTTGGCGACAATTGGAGATGCCAGGTATGGGCAGGTCTTTCTTCGCATGATCTCTCCAACTGAATTGGTACTGAGTTGAATAAGTTGGTGTTTTGACCTATGACCTATGTACGACATCAAAATTATGATTGTCAACAGTGACGGCGCCATATATCTTGACTTGTTTGTGGCCTGTGGCACTTATGGAGTCACTGTATGGTGGGAAGCAGCTGGTACTGTCTTGAGGCGTCAAAAACTCTTCTCCGTTCAGCGTTTTATTATGCTTGCTGTATGTCGCTCCGTCTCAACGAATCCAATTGTGCTGTTAAGAACACCCCTTCTTGATCTGTTTGTTATAAAGAGAGCTATTGCATCAGGTTAAGGAGGGACTTGAGTGTATCATTGTTGCAGAATGATTGGATTTCTGACGATGATGTAGAAAGGGAGGAAGGGACATTCAGGATGTCACTTTTGTGGAAGGAAACCCCGACTTCAGATTCTGTCTGAGCTCGGGCTTCCTATTCACGGGGCATGGTCCTCTGAATGCTTTCTTGCATAGGAGGAACCTATCGGAAACACCCGAATGTGCGTGTGGAGCACGAAATGAAGATTGGGTACATGTCATTGTAGAATGTATAATGTACTCGGATATCAGGAACCTTGAGAGAATGGGGATTAGCTATACAAATGGACGGCTAGATGTCAGCGGGGTGATCTAATCGTCTAATAAGTTATTTAATCGGCCAAGAGAATTAGCTGAAACTTAAGGTTAAGTAAGGTGTGATTGTGGGTGCGTGGAATAAGAGTATAGGATCTAACCCCTGATTACCAGTTCCGAGCAGTATGTGGTTTAATACCCGAATACGCCTCGGACCCTTCCAAAGTGGTTAGTGTGTCCATTCCACATTGCCAATTGGTACTGAAAACGTGCTCGACCTACAGTACGGCAGAACTTATGTCAGTCTTTAACCCGACCAAGGTGGAAAGGGATCCCTTCCTCCTTACCAATTGGAACCAAATAATTCTTGTATTCTTTGAGGCGCTGATCAAAGCATTGTTTTGATCTATTCATCATGTTTTTATGTGTAAATTCGACTTCCGTGGGACGTTAAGTCTTTATGCGAGTGCAAAAACTCCCTCTACTTTATTGAAATATACAGTAAGAATTTCTTGTAATCGATTGAATGAAATCGTTCACACATCATTCCCTTCTAGAACTATGTACGTTCGTATGAAGCGACGAATATTGCTTGTCATAACATTACAAAGCTTCACAAATGCGAACGTAAGACGTTTTAGTTTAAGTTTTTTATTTTTTTGAATTTCCATTTCAATAACATCACGCTGGGTAACAAGAAAAGTCGGCCAATAGTTATACCATCAGATAAGGCGATGGAGCAATATATAGCGGCTCGTTATGAGGAAGAAGTTCATGCGACCTCAATGCGCGTGATCCGAGCTCGAAACACTAAAGTACAAACAGAGAGTAAACGAGTAAAATTCTTCGATTTCAAGGGATTAATGGCGCCTGTCTTCACTGCCTTTAAAAATGATGAGTAAATTTGTCGCTAAAAATCTATTTTGACAATTGCGAGTTAATATTTAATTTAACTTGTATTAGAGAACAATCTTTGGAAGTCCAGCATATCGATCGTTACGCGGAATGGCTGAAAAGTAATCGTATTAGTGGTGTTTTAGGTACTTAAGTGAGTTTATATGTTTTCTACAATCATTTGATCCACACAATATTCCTTCATTCTATGAACAGTCAATGGCATGTCGGGTGAGGGACCCGCTTTAGGTTTGTCGGAGCGCATGCGGAATGCCGAGGCTTGGTGGGAAGCGGCACAAAAATACGAATTGGTTATGTTTCTGCAAGTCGGTGGTGCACCTTTGCCCGATGTACTGGTAATGGCCGATCATGCGCATGACTTGGGCGTACATGCGGTGCTCTGCCTACCCGAGCTCTTCTACAAGCCCACCACAATCGAACAGCTGGTCAGCTACATGCGCTTGGTGGCACGACGTTGTGCCGCACTACCTTTCTTCTACTATCATTTACCGCTGAGCACGGGCGTCTACCGTATGTAGGCGCACAGTTA